CATCATTATCATTATTGTTATCATCAATAGCATCTCCATAATTACTGTCAGTACTATCAGCAGCATCATAATCGTCATGAATACTATTATCATCATTATCATCATTACTATTATGATTTTTATAATTGTTAATATTACCGATATTGATATTATAATCGTTATCATTATTACTATTAATATCATTACTATTATCATAATCTCATTATCATTAGCATCACCATTGCAACATTACTATTATCGACCTTCTAATTTTCTTCATTATCTTCATAATTATTCCTCTATCATCCTTATCATTATCACATATATCAGAACCAAATAAAACCGTAATATGCCATGATTTTGCAGCTTCAGCAGCCTTTGATCTCAGCAATGATATTTTAACAGAAAAAAAATATTTTCGACAGAATATATAACACGTAATTATAAGTATCATTAGCATCGCCACTATTATTATCATTATTATCCTGATACTCATCAAGATCATTATTATCATTATCATTTTCATACTATCATCATCGCTCAAAAGTTTTGTCATTATCATTATAGCATTATATTCACCACGACCATAAACACCACAATTACCACACTTTCACCACAGTACTCACAAGAGAAAGAAAACAACCACAATTCTCATATACAAATATATTTGAGATAAGTAAACAACTGCAGATGTATAATACATAATGAAAAATAAGTTAACCTTTCCCTTACCTAGGAATCGTATGTACAAATTATACAACTTTTGAGGAACACTGAGTGCTTAAAAAAAAAACCTTTCTTTTAGCATAGGTTAGCGGACCCACACAAAAGTCTACAGCCTGTGCCGTTAATAAGCTTCTGAAAGGTCGTTCATTGTTAACTTTTGGAGTAGAAAATAGGTAAAATAGATCATCTAAATCATATTTCTAAGTTGGAATTATTCGAAGTTAGAAATGGTGGAGACTTGGAATGTGCTGGGGTTGAAAAAAAAAAGAAAAAAATATATATTTTTTCTTTTTTGATGTCTCGTGTTATGTTTAGTTTCCAGGTCGTGTGTTTTTTGGGGTTATTTTTCCCCATATGGTTTCATACGACCATGTTTTATGTAGACATTTCACGTAGAAGAAAAAAAAACTAAATCACTCGTGATTTGTGCTTAGGATGAAAACTCACTCATATATAAACATATATGCCATTATGAAATATACAAAAAAGGGATATTTTATATATATCATTTCTATATATATATAAATCGATACGAAAAAAATATTTCATAATCTAAGAGGGACGCCATTCAACACAAAACACTAATTCCTATCAAGCAAATATTGACAATAAAATAAAAGGGTTAACGAAAGAAAGAGAAAAACTAAATAAGAAAATATTAAAACAGATTCAGTGCATCTCTTTCAGGGGGGTTGGGGTATTTGGGAGGAGGGGGGGTGGAGGCGGGAAAAGCATGATATTTAGTCCTTAACTAAATACCACGAGAGACAGGAACCTCAATGCAGTATTATAAATAACAGTTGCTTCCTTTTTTCTCTGTCTCTCCTTTCGACTTCTCTCTTTCTCTCTCTCTCTTTTTCTCTATCTCTGTCTCTCCTTCTGACTTCTCCTCTTCTCGTTTCTCCATTTCCATTTTCATCATCGCTTTCTTTCCTTCCCATATCTGTCTCCCAACGCTTTATTCATACAATTAATCACAGCAATTGTACAGTGCAGTTAAGCCAAGACTTTATAATAAAAAGAAAGGTGATTCACGTATCTTCCTTAAGTGAAACGAGGGACTACGCTCGCTCCATCTTCTTCGTTTATCTCTCCTCCTCCTTCTTCTCCTTTTCCTCCTTCACGCAAACGAAACAAAACAATAACAAACAACCGAGAAAACGTCAACACCACGTTCTCGGCGCCTAACTAGCGATCCGTGACCAAAAAAAAAAAAAAGAAGGAAAATTATTATCATCAATAATAATCCCTCTCTATATAAAAGCTCAAAACACATCGCTCCGGTGCGTTTCCTCTCTACAACGACCACTTGCGAAGAGCGGCGGGACCCTGTTTATTCCACTCCTCTCTGGTGACACGGGACTGCACGAAACCAGGGGACTCGGCTAACACGCACGCCCCGATGTACGCCGCGTGGTACCGGTAAGGCGAAGCGTGGACCTGGAAACGAAGGGAGAATTTAGTGTGAAAATGGAGGTTATTTTAGCTTACGTTGGGGGTGCGAATCGTGTGAATGATTTGGGTTATGTATTCATTCAGTACTGTTGCAGAATTCAGTGTAGAAGATACTACCAGTTTTGCAAATAATAGTGATAATAATAATATCAATAAAGATAAATAAGTAAACAGAGAGAGAGAGAGAGAGAGAGAGAGAGAGAGAGAGAGAGAGAGAGAGAGAGAGAGAGAGAGAGAAAGAGAAAGAGAAAGAGAAAGAGAAAGAGAGAGAGAGAGAGAGAGAGAGAGAGAGAGAGAGAGAGAGAGAGAGAGAGAGAGAAAATGAGAAATAAAGCAAGAAAAAAAACGAGAAAAAAATAATACTATATATATATATATATATATATATATATATATATATATATATATATATATATATATATATATATATATATATATATATCATATAAATAAAAAGGAAAAAGAGAAAATGGAAAAGCATATAAAAGGAAAACGAACACAAATCCCAGCCCTCACCTTGGGTCTAATAGCGGGGGGCGTGAGGTTGTCGATCTCGGTGGTGAGTCTGTCCACGAGGCCTGGAAGCTGCGTCACTCCTCCGGCCAAGAAGATGCTCCTGCTCATCTCCTTTCGGATGTCCATGCTGCACTCCTGGTGGAAGGAAGGGGAGGGGGTGGTATTAGCATGCATAATGAAGAACCTAGTTGATGGAAATGCCATTTAAATTCATATGTTAATATATGTACTTCTTTATTTACAACAGGTAATCATACTTATGAGCCTATACATATATATAAAAAAAACATAAATAATCATCTTTGTATTAATGTCAACAAGGAGGCATTAATACTTGCTTATGTACCCATATATAATGACAAATTTGAACACCCATTCATGTACCAATACCAACAAGTAAACATTGATACAGACTCATGCTTAAATATAAAAAAATAACATGAACACCCACTTATGCATCAATACCAACACGTACACATCAATACATAATGATGATGATGTATATATACTTAGGTCAACAGATAAACAATAAGGGCGATGACGACTCACCATTATAGCCTTGTATACTAGTTTGTGGAGTCCGGGGTGATCCAGACCCCAAGCGTCGGGGTTAAAGAGCCCTTCCGTGGCTTGGAATCGTCCGAAGTCGAGAGAGATATTTCTGTAAAATAAGCAAAGAGTTAGTTTTTGACTGAGGCTGAAGTGTGATTGAATTATAATTAATCTACGTGAAGAATAAACCAAAGAAGGGAGTTATAAATGTTTATTTTGTTCTCGGTGTTATTTGAATCAAAGGCATTGAAACAGACGTATGTATTCCAACCAGACGATATAAAAAAAATCTACTACTTCTACTTCTACTACTTCTTCTTCTTCTACTATTACTATTACTATTACTATTATTATTGTTACTACTACTACTACTACTACTACTACTACTACTAATAATAATAATAATAATAATAATAATACATAAAACTACTACTCACTCGTAAGGGCAGTCTTTGTTGTGGAAGTATTCTGAGAGGGAGACGCCCTTTTCGAAGTTGTCGGGGTTGTTGGCGCAGCGGGCCTTCTCTGTGTTGTAGTGGTGGGCGCAGTAACAGATATTCTCCAACACCTGTGCAAGAAAGGAGGAATTTTAGTCTGATTTTTTTAGAGAATTCATAAATATAGAAGTAAAACAGTGAAATATATTAGATTTTTAGACAAATTGCTTTTCAAAATAAGGTATATCATACAGTCTAGATACCAATGCTTAACTACGACCATGAGTGAATTTAAAGGATGGATAAATGAACAGAAACACCTACATGTCTGATGATGTAACTCTCGACTTCGTTGATGAGGGAGACGTTCCTCATGTACAAGAACTGCCGAAGGTGATCCAGTATCCGGTATCCGCCGTAGGGAACTCTTGACACGCCGCCGTCCACGATGTACCCTGCGGCGAGGAAGGGAAGGTGAGTCGGGTGATGGGGTCAGAGGCATACAAGTGATTCGTGCGGGGCGGGAAGGTAGGATCATAGGGTAAAATATATACGTGTAGTTATACATATATATAGGCATAGGTACAGAAATAAACATGGACATGAAAAATACACACAAATACAGCCAGAGATATACAGATACACACAGACACAGACACAGACAGACACAGACACAGACACAGACACACAGACACACAGACACACACACACACACACACACACACACACACACACACACACACACACACACACACACACACACACACACACACACACACACACACACACACACACGCAAGACCCACCATCGATGACGGGCACGATATCCATCCTCTCGCCGATGTCCACGACGATCCCGGAAGTGGCATTGTAGGCGTAGAGCGCGAGGATGGACTGGTGTGTGAGGTTAACGGACTTGACGCCGAACTTGTCGAAGAGAACCCGCAGGAGCTCCGTCTGCGTGCTGGAGTTGAGGACGCGAGGGACGGAGAGCTGCAGGTGGTAGTTCTTGGGGTCTACCCTCAGGTCGGCGAAGGTCTTCTGTAGGAGACTTGAGACGGCACTCAGGTCTACAGAGTACTGGAGGAGGAGGCGGAGGAGAGGCGTTAAGGTCTGCGCTTATTTGGACTGATAATACGACACGATATAAATATATTCTTTAAAAAAAAACATACAGCAATGGGTGTTATGCAGAGATTATTGATTTTTTTTGTCAAGTTAAGTCTTTATCATCCCATAAAAAAGTAAAATGGACAATAATAATGATAACGTGATTATAAAATGCTAATGGTGATGATGATGATGATGATGATGATGATGATGATGATGATGATGATGATGATGATGATGATGATGATGATGATGATGATGATGATGATGATGATGATGATGATGATGATGATGGCTCACCTTCGTAATTTTGTGCGAGGGCCGGACGGGGAACGAGATGGTGGAGGCGGAGCGGACGTCGGGCGTGAGGGCGTCGTATCCCCAGATCTGGCGCCGTGACTCTCGCTCCGTCGCCACCACCGAGGGAAGGAACAGCTGGGGCAAGGTGGCTGCGGGAATGGGCGGGGCAGGTTAGGTATATCGCCTTCATTAAGGTGGTATTAAAGAAAGGGGGTTCATTTGCTGCTTTAATGTGTTGGTTAAAGTGTCATTTGAGGGGGGGAGGGAGATATGGGCTATATAATGGTGTAAATGAATAATAAAATGGAGATATAACAACTACAATAACAATAATAATAGCATCAATAATAAATATTTATCAAAATAATACCAACAATAACCAATAGACAGTTATCAAAACAACAACAAAAATCCACTGGCTTGTATACACCGCACTCGAACTCCCTCAATCGGCGTCAAAACTCACCCTGCGAGGCGAGGACACCCGCCCTGACGGAGCAGGAGCCCAGGTCAATGACAAGGGTGTCCCTGAGGAGCGCAGGGTCGTTGGGGACGGGCCAGGGCTGTACGTATTGGCTGGCGAAGTCCTCGACCGTGTGCGTCTCGAGGGCCCTGCGCCATCGCTCGGCCTCCTGACGAGAGCTGCATCTCACCACGACGTAGTGGCCCTTCTGCAGGAGGGACATGGAGGCGTTAGTATTGCTTTTGCCTCTGGTTTCCGTGGTACCATTCATTTTTGTGTTGTCAGCTTCAGTTAGTAATTATACAGGATATATATACAATATTCTACGTATTTACAGCTATATGGAAATACTCTCTGGCTTGATATACAGCAAAACATAAAAGCAAGCTGGGTTTTTCGTTAGTCACCACACGAAAGCAAATCAAATCTAATCTGTACACACCAGTCAAAAAAAAGCTTATTATATCAACAATAAACAAATCAAAACAAATAAGCAAATACGAAACACACAAACAAAAAAAGGAGCACAGAAACACACACGCAGTAGTGAACAAGTGAACAACGCAACGAGGTGTTTGCAGTGTGGAGGAAAAGCGAACACGCAACACAGACTTACCCCGTCGTCAATACCAATCATGGCTCCAGACTTCGGTTCTCTGGTCTGCTGGACCGAACCGGGCAGACAGACAGCCACAGAGAACCACAGACAGCCACAGACAGGTGAGCAAGGTCAAGGTGTTGGTAGGGGCGAGTTAGGGGAATGGTGGGAGGGGGGGGGAGAGACGAGAAGACGTTAGTTAGTTAGCTAGTTAGTGGCTTGTTGTGGCGAAGACTTTGGATCTGTGAAATCCGGTGTCTCTGGGTTTATAGTTATAGAAGTCTAACGTGTCTTTGGTATCTCTGCATGACTGATGATCCGACTACTTTGGTTTAATCACATTTGCCAAGGTTGTTTGTTATGAAAGCAGTTGAATATAATCCTACGTATATATACAGACACTATAGCCTACATATATTTCAAACTGGTATTGTATGATTCATTATTCTTTTATTTACATAATACTTCCTTAAATATTAGAAATAAATATCTTTATAATACACTGAGATTATAAATGCAACAACGACCAATCGATCGCCCAAATCTACTGTAACTACTTGGAAATCTATAAAGCATTAAAATCTACAACTCAAGCTCAAATAACAACTACAAGAAAAGACATTCTACGAAAAGTTAGGCAAATCTATACGTATATGTAGTGGATACTGTCAAAATCATTAACCATGCTGAGACATGCGCAAGAAACTGTGTGTTGTCTTGCTGAAGTATATTTGTGCTTTGTGACACGTGTAGGTGTAACTGCAGAAAAAAAAACTTGTCTGTTTGTCGATTTTTTTCGTTGATGCGTGTGTTGGGTATCCAGTACACGTGAATTTGTTTGTTATCAGTTTTGAGATTTTTTCAAGTATAAGTGTTAGATAATGATGTGTTCTGAGGATAGTTTAGGAAGAAGCTACAATACATAAAGATGAAACTGCTTATATCTACTGTATATAAAGACAGATGAATGGAGAGTAAAGACAGGTTTTCTAAAGAGAGGGAAATGCTACATGACATTCACTCTGACACTACAAACGTCTCTACTTTCTCAGAGACAAGGACTTTCACCATGAATCTACACAGGTACGATTTACTTCACCAGAGTGAGTAAGCACGCACGGCAGACCAAGTATATACAGCTACAATGTTAGGAGGCATACATTCTGAAGTAAAATTTTGGCTGCTATTTCTATCTACTACCATAAACAAGAGAGAGAGAGAGAGAGAGAGAGAGAGAGAGAGAGAGAGAGAGAGAGAGAGAGAGAGAGAGAGAGAGAGAGAGAGAGAGAGAGAGAGAGAGAGAATGTACTTACCCCATCATCGACGCCGACCATGTTGGGTTCCATACACTCTACTTTGCCTCCCATCAGAGTCATCTTCATGCTGGGTTTATCTGCTTGAGGATTCTGAAAGCACCGATAATATTGTTGTTTTCAAAAGGAATTACATATCCCTCTGATATCTACCAGCAACAAAGCAAACAATATATGAAACAAAAGAGCATCTATAACACACGAAGGAAATCCCCAAATGCTAACCTGGTAGTAATAAAGCACTCCCTCTTTGGCCACGAAGTAACGTCGCTTCCAGGCGTTCCAAAAGGTGGCTTTCTTTCGCCCAGACGGAAGCTTCTCCAGGTATCCCTCGATGTTCACGTAGGTGGTACCTTGACTCTGTACTTTGGGGGCGTCGGGGATGTAGTAGAGGCGTTTCAGCAGAGGGCGCTGTGGAAGGGCGAAGAGGTTTAAGGTGCTGTACTAGTTTCGTGGCTTTCGTGAAAAGGGTATACTTTTTTTTTGTTGCGTTTTGTGGCTTCTGCTCGAATTATATATAAAACGCATTCGTACTACCGATTTTAATAAAAGATTTAGCTGTCTTAATAGATATATACTTTTAATCATTCCTAAAAATACACGTCTCAGACTATCAGGAAATGCCAATCGAGTCTCCCACGCACTCACCGGGTTCCATCCGCTGGTGGAGGGCGGTTTGCTCATCAGCTCCCGCAGCTCCTCGTCCACCTTCTTGAACTGGTTGAAGATGGGCTCCACGGGCTCGTCGGGGTCGATGATCTGCTGCGGGCGGCCATTCTCGGCCATGGCGGACGCAGGGACTCAGGAGGTTTTCGCAGGAGCCGCCGCCGGAGTTGAGGCTCGTGGTACTGCTGGTCTTCTCCAAGGTCGAGCTGGCGAGGGACGAGGTCGAGCTCGAGGTCTTGCGGTTGAGGGTGCTGCCGTTGGTCCCGTTGGAGGTCTGGTGGTGGCCGTTGGTGGCGGTCTCGGAGGCCTTGCCGTTGCTGGTCTTGCCGGTCTCGAACTGGTTCCTCAGCGCCTTCACCGACGGCAGGAACTTCTTCACCTTCGACGGGCTGTTCTGGTTGCTGTCGCTGCCGACGCCCGAGTTCCAGTTCTTGATGTCCACCTGAAGGGAGGCAACAGGGTAACGGGTCAGAAAACCTCGGGTTATTTCGAGTCACGGGTACCTTATCTTTCGGGATATTTCAGGAACGAATGTACGCTGAATGGAAACAAAATTCTCACGCCGATGATAACTTTTCATAAACAAACACGCAATTGTGTCCTTTCATAGACCTAACTTTTACATGGGACAAAATCCCCGCTTATCCATCACACCACCGCGAGACACCACTCATTCCCTCACCATAACCATGAAACACTAAGCCTCCTCCTTCTGCCTTATCCAGGTCTCCTATACTCCCCCCCCCCTAGCATTATCCCCACCCCTTTCCCTCTTCCCCAACCCCCCCTCCGAACCCCAAAGCATCCCAGACAACGTGCGTGCTGTTTGTAATGGGTGAGGAGAGCCATCTATGGACAAGCATCAATACTAACGTCGAGAGATGGCGTCTGCGAGATTTCCTCAAAGGGAACGGACGGGAAACTTCGGTATTTTCTTTGCTCAGGACTTAAATACAACGTGTGGAGAAGTTAAACATTAAAAATATTGAGTCACGTGACCAATGCTGTTGTATTTTAAGCTGAGCCGATTCTTACTAGTGTTATATACATATATTTTTTTTCTATTTCGTTTTCTCTCTTTGACCGTGACTGACTAAAATAAAAACGTGGAAACATTTATGAATTTCTCTATCGCTCATTTTTTTGTGCATGTTGCAGGTAAATGCATTGCAAAGTCACGATAAAAACACGTTATACTTCGTTCCTCCATATTTGTGTAGAAATGATAGGCAAAGAAAAAATTATCAGTCTCCCCTAAGAACCTTGCGTGCTTGCTTGCTTCAATGTGCAATTACTCACTTTGCGAAACTCTGCATGTTAATCCTTTTCTCGATTGCATAACTCTCTCTCTCTCTCTCTCTCTCTCTCTCTCTCTCTCTCTCTCTCTCTCTCTCTCTCTCTCTCACTCACTCACTCACTCACTCACTCACTCACTCACTCACTCACTCTCTCACTCTCTCACTCTCTCACTCTCTCACTCTCTCACTCACTCACTCACTCTCACTCTCTCTTTCTCTCTCTCTCTCGCCTTTTCCATTTCCACTCCTACTCCCAATCTTATTCTCTCTTTCACAGCCTTTTACTGCCTTTTCCAATTCCATTCCCACTCATACTCATGCTCCCTCCTCTCTCTCACCCACTCTCACTCTCGCTCTTAATCTCACTCTTACTCTTTATCACTTCCAATTTATTTTCGTTTCCTCTCCCACTTCCACTCCTACGCTCACACTCTCACCCTCACGCTCTCTCTACACTCTAACTCTTTCGCTCTCGCTCTCTTTTTCTTTCTTTCTTTCCATCTCTCTCTCTCTCTCTCTCTCTCTCTCTCTCTCTCTCTCTCTCTCTCTCTCTCTCTCTCTCTCTCTCTCTCTCTCTCTCTTTCTTTCTCTTTCTCTCTCTTTCTTTCTTTCTTTCTTTCTTTCTTTCTTTCTCTCTCTCTCTCTCTCCCTCTCTCTCACCTTATTGGGCGACGCCATCATGTTCCTCTGTCGCTGTCTCACGGTTTCAGGGTAGACTTCGATACACCTGTCCTTCTGAATCCTGTCCTCCTCCCTCTTCTTCTCTCCCGAGGCGTCCTGGTGGTGGTGGTGGTGGTGGTCCTCCTTCTCGGGTTCCACAGGCGGGCCCGGAGAAGGAGTGTCTGCGAAGAGAGAAAGGAATTTTGGAATTATTACGGGCGGGGGGAAAAAAAACGTAGTGCTTTTGGCGGGAGAGGCGGGGGAGAAAATGGGAATATGGGAGATCGTGAAAGAAAACGGGGAAGTTGGGAAAAGGATGGGGGGAGGGGGGAGAGGGAAGGAGGGAGGGAGGAGAAGTGAAAGAGGAGGAAGAAGAGGAAGAAGTAGAGGAGGAAGAAGTAGAGGAGGAAGAAGTAGAGGAGGAAGAAGTAGAGGAGGAAGAAGAAGAGGAAGAAGAAGAGGGAGAAGAAGAAGAAGAAGAAGAAGAGAGAGAGAAGGCGAAAGAAGGCGAAAACGAGAAAGAGAGAGAGGGGGGGGATGGGACATCTTAAATATCGCTAGTAGGAGAACTGAAGGCAAACAGCAGCATTTTCCTTTTAATTACCGGGCTATTACAAAGTACCGATATCATAGTATTCTCGCTGTGGCCTTTATAAAGTGCAATGTCATCTAGTTTGTTTTCTTTGTCATTCCCTAACCAAAAAAAAAATAAAATAAAAAAATAACAAAAAATATTTAAAAAACACACTTCCATTTTCTTCTGAAAGCAAGTTCATCTGACATCAATAAATACGTTGACATCATAAGATCAGTGGATGTTATCTTCCCTGACATCAGTCGTCATTGGCGTTACTTCTTATCACTCATATCACGGTGTTATCAGCAGGTAATTGTGTTAGACAGAAAAAGATAGTGTTAATAAAAAAGGTGTTAAGATATTTTCCTGGATCTGAACGAAGAGGAAGAGGTTCATGAGTGGATATGTACGTTCTCTATTTCTTTAGATTTTCTTTTTTTCATTCTTTCTCTTTCATTCTATCTTTCTTTCTGTCTCTGTTTCTGTCTCTGTCTCTCTGTCTCTCTGTCTCTCTCTCTCTCCTCCCTCTCCCTCTCCCTCTCCCTCTCTCTCCTCCCTCTCCCTCTCCCTCTCCCCTTCCCCCTCCCTCCCCCCTCTATCTCCACATGTCGAGTCATTCACATATCTCGGTAATACACACAAAGGGAAAACAAGCTTATGGCTTCATCACACCCCTATATCTCACCACAAAATGCGTAACTATCATGCCCTCCCCTCCCCTCCCCCCGCCCCTCTATCCCATCCTGCTAACACTCCCCCTCTTCTCTAACCCCCCTCTCTCCCCCTCCTCTATCCCCTCTCCCTCTCCCCCTTCCGCTAACACCCCCCCCCCTCCCTCTACCCTCCTCCCACTAAAACCTTCAACTGCCCCTCCCACCGCCTACCGGGTTCTCGCTGACGTCAATTGCAAAACACGCTTTTATTTCCCGTATCAGACCATCGATGACATCTCTCGTAAAAAAAAAAAAAAAAAAAAAAAAAAAAAAAAAAAAAAAAAAAAAAAAAAATCTCGCTTTTTTTTCCCTAATCGAAATATCCCTCTCTTAACGTCAGTCGTGTGTATCGCCCACTTCGTTATATAGTTTTCGTTAATTTTACCTGCAGGTTGAGTACCTTTATTTACCTGAATAGAAACCCTTCCTCTACTAAAACACTTCCTCTCTATGACGCCCACTGTTTGTTATATCGCGTTGTCTGTGTTTTTTTTATATCTCTTTCGTCTAGTTTGGTGTTTGTTTGTTTTTCGTATGTGTTTGTGTGTTTGTTTGTGTGTGTGTGTGTGTGTGTGTGTGTGTGTGTGTGTGTGTGTGTGTGTGTGTGTGTGTGTGTGTGTGTGTGTGTGTGTGTGGTGTGTGTGTGTGTGTACGTGTGTATCTATGTATCTATGTATTTCTGTACTTTGTCCGTCTCTCTGTCTGCCATTTTCTCTTTTGTTTTATCTTTCAGCACAATTACATTAACATCCACACAATCATAGATTCCACATCCCCCATGCCATGCAATTAGGTTCGAAACCAAAACCATTAACCACTGAAACCAACGCAATTCTCCACAGTTAAAAATCCCAGAACAGGATGCGCGCGACATACCCACGCCCTTCGAACGCCTCCTGCAGCTTCAGGACGTCACTACAGCAGGACAGACACAGCAACAGCAGATCAACGGGTCAGGGTCCTCGCAGCACTGAAGGGGAGAGAGGTGTTCCCTCCCTCCACACGCATTCACAAACTCGTAAAACTCCCTCTCCCTCTCCCTCTCCCCCTTCCGCTAACACCCCCCCCTCCCTCTACCCTCCTCCCACTAAAACCTTCAACTGCCCCTCCCACCGCCTACCGGGTTCTCGCTGACGTCAATTGCAAAACACGCTTTTATTTCCCGTATCAGACCATCGATGACATCTCTCGTAAAAAAAAAAAAAAAAAATCTCGCTTTTTTTTCCCTAATCGAAATATCCCTCTCTTAACGTCAGTCGTGTGTATCGCCCACTTCGTTATATAGTTTTCGTTAATTTTACCTGCGGGTTGAGTACCTTTATTTACCTGAATAGAGACCCTTCCTCTACTAAAACACTTCCTCTCTATAACGCCCACTGTTTGTTATATCGCGTTATCTGTGTTTTTTTTTATATCTCTTTCGTCTAGTTTGGTGTCTGTTTGTTTTTCGTATGTGTTTGTTTATTTGTGTGTGTGTGTGTGTGTGTGTGTGTGTGTGTGTGTGTGTGTGTGTGTGTGTGTGTGTGTGTGTGTGTGTGTGTGTGTGTGTGTGTGTGTGTGTACGTGTGTATCTATGTATTTCTGTACTTTGTCCGTCTCTCTGTCTGCCATTTTCTCTTTTGTTTTTCCTTTCAGCACAACTACATTAACATCCACACAATCATAGATTCCACATCCCCCATGCCATGCAATTAGATTCGAAACCAAAACCATTAACCACTGAAACCAACGCAATTCTCCACAGTTAAAAATCCCAGAACAGGATGCGCGCGACATACCCACGCCCTTCGAACGCCTCCTGCAGCTTCAGGACGTCACTACAGCAGGACAGACACAGCAACAGCAGATCAACGGGTCAGGGTCCTCGCAGCACTGAAGGGGAGAGAGGTGTTCCCTCCCTCCACACGCATTCACAAACTCGTAAAACTCCCTCTCCCCTCTCCCTCTCTCTTTCTCCCTTTCCCTCTCTCTCTCGTCGACACTGTGTCACGGTTTCCACGTTTATCGAAGACTCGCTTTACACTTCCACTTCGTATGAAAAAATGGCGAACGATAAGAACTGCTATCACGAATATCACCTAGATAATTCCGCGATCCGTCATGGCGTCACATGATTAGGAAAGCAGAGGAAAATCACACCACGGATTATGGTAGCGAACTGAATGACGTCTAAAAAAAAGAGAGAGACCCGGACGGAGAATATTCCGCGTTGATTATTTTTTTCCCAAAATGCTTCATCGCCAATTCATTTAGCATCGTACTTGTTCCGCTGAGCATCACTCACCAGCAACACAATGTGTCAGATGTGAAGGTGATGTAAATGTTATCTCCAGGACCGGTCTTGCTGGCTGGCGGGTCACGTACAAGCATGTGTCTATCTGCTTGGAGACTCACACACACACGCACGCACGCACATGTATGCACGTATCCCCCCCCCCCCTCGTTCTATCCACCTACATAAACTTCGCTAAACTTCCTAATTCGCTAATCTATACTCCCGGGATCGCCATGTAACGAAAGGTACAGTACTGTTCCAACGGCGGGACAATAGAGCACTTTGCATTCCCCCGGACTCCTCCCCTCCCTTACCCCCCCCTCTGCTCCCTCCCTTCCCCCTCCCCCCCTCGGCCTTACTTGTAAACACACGACATCCTGTATTTGATCGGTGAACGGGACCAGGTATCAGCATCCTGTCACGCAAAAACTGGTATTGGATTAGTCATTCCCTTTCGTGTGATCAATCCAGTACAGGAGGGTTGTAAATACACAGGCATGAATGAATATATAAATATATGCATATATATATATATATATATATATATGTGTGTGTGTGTGTGTGTGTGTGTGTGTGTGTGTGTGTGTGTGTGTGTGTGTGTGTGTGTGTGTGTGTACATAAATTTACATTTGGATATGCATGTATACTTACATGCATATACATACATACATACATACAGACATTTTATATATATATATATATATATATATATATATATATATATATATATATATATATATATATATATATATATATATATATAGTGCGTGTGTGTGTGTGTGTGTGTGTGTGTGTGTGTGTGTGTGTGTGTGTGTGTGTGTGTGTGTGTGTGTGTGTGTGTGTGTGTGTGTGTGTGTACGTGCGTGCTCATTTTTGCAATGATGCAGAGCGATGATGGTGATATACAAACAAACCCATTCAGGGACTTAATTTGCATACATACAAATCCACAAACAAGTACATGAACTTTTACGGAAAAAAATCAGTACTTCCACATACAAAGCGGGCCTTCATTTCCCATCTATCTACTGAACGAAATTAAAACGCATCATGTTAATAGAACTAGAATAAGCATATGAAAGCGTAAGCGAGATGAAGCTTATTTTTCCTCATATTCACCCCTTTGAATACACCAAATTTATTCCTCTTTGTTTACCTTCTTCTTCCTCACTTTCGCTCTCCTCTCCCAAGTCTACACTGAGGTCAGCCTTGGGTCCCTTGTCCTCAGGCAGCCCGCGGAGGTAGAGACGGGGAAGCTCGAGTCCCCTTTGCCCCTGCCGCTCTGCCCACGTCTGGATCTGCACCGCGGGCGGCTCGCGGGCGGGTGGGATGGGGATTCCTTTGGGCGTGTCCTCGTCCTCGGTTTCGCCCAAGCCTAATCCTATGCCGCTGTCGTCGAAGGGGTTTTTCGGCAGGTCGTCGAGGGAGAGGTCGATCGCCTCGTCCTGAGTGCATGTCATCTCCTCGTCGTTGATTGGTAGTTCGTTTCGGATTCCGTCGTCGCTTGCCTTGTCGTCGTCTCTCGTGGTGGTTTCTGACTCTTCCGGCTGAGGGGAAGCAGGTATCTCCTCAGGTTTCCCCTCGCTGATGAGGGCCTTCATGTCGAAAATCGGGGAATCGAGGCCCTTCTTGCGCTTCCTCTTGGGCACTTCCGGAGTGTCGCACGAGGGGTAACTGCTTCTCTTCTGACCGTCCTTCATGATGTAACGCAATTCGACGTCCGTGAATATGGGCGGTCGACTCTCCTTGTCGTCGGCGAACTCCAAGGCGGTGAAGAAGTTGAAGATGGTGGAGAAGCCTTCTTCAGAGCCCTCGGGAGTTCGAGAGGCGTTCTTGGCGCCCTCTGCAGCGTGGGGGTCGTTCTCCGGGGTTAGCTCTGGGATCTCGGCTCGGGAGAACACAGAGCCCGTCATGTCGTAAGATCTCTGCTTTCGCCCGAAGATCCTTGGCAGACATGAAATAGGCGGCACCTCCTCTTTCTTCGTATTGTTTTTCAACTTCTTGAGGACGGTGTTGGGCAGCGTAAGGTACTTGATTGCCCTGAGAGACCCGTGCCTCTTTACAGAGTTCTCCCTCGTGCGTTTCTGGCCCGCCGTCCCGTCGGCAATGGTGTGGTAACGCTTTCGGATATGCGGCGTGTTTTTCCGCTGGATGCCGCTGCCGGGGCCTCTCCTCGGCAGCGGCTCATCCGGCAACTTGACACGGAGGGGGCGGCGGGTCTCCTCGGGCGTGCCATAGTTCACGTCGCGATTGATGTTTTCGGAGGTGACTTTTGGAGTGACCTCTGGGGTGACCTCTGGGGTGACCTCTGGAGTGACCTCTGGGGTGACCTCTGGGGTGTCCTCTGGAGTGACCTCGCTCGTTTGGGTTGGGATGACCTGGCTTGCATCTTGTTGTTTATCAGCAGTGTCCTGGATCGTATCTTGGGGTTTTAATGGGGCTTCTTGAGCAGCGCTTATCTGTGCATCTGAACTGTCCTGAACGGAGGGTGCGCTCTGGGATAAACATGGGTTGATCTGGAACGTTTTCCTCGGCCCGTTTTTAGGCGAAACCGGAGTCACGAGGAACGTTTTTATACGCCTGAGTCGGGGTGTTACTAGTGAAGTGATATGGACTCTCTTCACCGAGTCTCCGTCGCTGCTGTCTCTGTCCGCGGACGCCGGTCTCATCTGAGGTGACCCGGAGGCGGAGGCGGTCGGTCTGGGCGTGACCTGGGGCCTGTTGCTACAAGTGGCCGTAGAAGCTGATCTTGCCACTCTCTTGGTGCGGGGCGGAGCGCGGGCGTCGTGGGGCGTGGGCGAGGACCTGCTCTGGCTCTTGGCAGGTCGGGGAAGGGACGAGTATCCCCGGTAAGTTCGTAGCGGGACCGGCGGGGGAGTCGCTTCCTGGTTGTCGCGGGGCGTAGGGGGAGTCGCCGGCGCCCCCTCGCGAGTCGATCTGATGGACGGATTTCTCTTCTTCCTCACTGGAGGTCGAGGAGCCTCATGGGAGACCTCGTCACGTCCCTCATTAATGGGCTTCTGTAGAGTTGTGTCACACTTAATTGCCTCATGACTAGCACCCTGTCTCTCCTCCTCCGCCTCCTCCTTCTCCTTCTCCTTCTTTTCATTCCCCTCGTCTCTGACATTACCCTCTTTATCACCCTCATTCTCTATTCCGACCTTGCCTTCTGTGTTTTTCTCATTTCCATGTGTCGTAATCTCACCCTCCATTACGGCTTGGTGTTTCTCAATCTCTCCCTCTTTACTGCTGGCCTGAACATACATCTCCGGCGTCTCGGTGTTTCTCAAGTTCATTGCAGACGTTGCACAAGCAGTATCAGGCGTGTCGGGGCTGCTCTGCGTCAGTTCAGAAGAAACAGATGATGTCTTATCTCTGTTGTCCTCGTTTATCACGCACGGGGGAGGGGTTCTGTCGCCATCAAGACTGCTGATGATGTCCATTAACTCCTCGACGACGTTGCTGGTGTCGCCCTCGAGCAGTTCGTCTTCGTATTTTATGGTCTCTTCGAATGCCTCGTTTTCTTTGTCTTTCGTGCGCTGACTTTCTTCGATCTTCTCTTTTTCGATGGCACCTTCCTTCTTTTCTCGCTCTTCCTCTCCTTCATTCTCCTTCTCTCGCTCTCCTTCCTCTCCCTCCTCCTCATGTTTACCTCCTTCTAAATATTCCCCGTGCATCGTCCTCGTGCCGGCCTCACATGACTCCGCGACCCTTTCATTACCCGAACACTTAGCATTCGCTTCAGGGCGGCCATTACTTCCCTCACGTGGTTCTGGCACAGCGACAGAAAGTATACCCAGGGTATCGACCAGGGTAGAGGGGGTGGAGGCTGCCCCTCCCCATCCTCCCCTCTCCTCCTCATACCCAACAACACTCGACGAACTTGACCCACAATCTCCGTTTTCTCTCGTCTCCGGGGCGTCGTTTTCGTTTGCGACTAAGGCTTCAGGGGGGACTGGTCTATCCTGCGAAGGCGGAGGAAGAGAAGCTTGCATAGGACTTTGCTTTCTTCTCTTTACTCTCGCGGGGGGTTTCGGGGCTTGCCCATTCTGGATGGCAGCCAGAATTTTGTCATTTTCTACTTGCTGCGCCATCTTGTCTTTCATATTAGGATCGCTGGACAGCCTCCTCAAGAACAACCTTTTTGGCTTAGGAGGCGGCTTGTTGGGGTCGTAGTCGGAATACTTTGCACGGAGGAGTGCCTCGAAATCGGCTTTCGCTAAATTACCCAACAGCACACGAAAATTACATCCCTTCCCTTCGACCTCCTCGACTGCGCCTTCTTCAGCATCTGCAACGCAAATATCAAGACGATTCTCCACCTCGGCCTCCTCGCCTGAAGGAGGCTGGTGCTTCATTTCCCCAGCACTGCTTTCTTCCGATCCTTCAGACGTCGGCGGTCCATCGCTGGCATCGTTTTCTACTTTCTTTACATCCTGTTCAGTGGCCTCCTTCTCCCCCTCGGAGCCCCGCGGGACGTGTTCTAACGCCTCCTCTCGTCTCTCTTGTTTTTCCTGCTCTTGTTTACCTTCCTTGCGTTCGTTTTGGTTATCTTCCTCCTCTGTGTTCTTATTGTCGTCGTTGCGTCTGTCCTTATCCGTTACCTTCTGATTTTCATGCTCGTTCTGTTTTCCCCCGTTTTCCTTCTCCTTTATTTCCTCTTTCTGATTTTCTTGTTTGTCCTCTGCATTGACTTTTCTTTGCTCCTTCTCTTCCTCTTTTATCTGGTTTTCTTTATCTTCATCCTCATGTTTCTCCTCTTTCTCCTGCATTGTCTTACTTTCCATTGTTTCCTGTATTTCCTTCCCTTTGACTACTTCTTGTCTACTCTGTTTTCCCTCATTCTGTATCCTTTCATCTTTCTCTTCCTTCATTTCCTCTTCATGATTGTCTACTTCTTCCTCCTTATCTTTTTCCTTTTCCGGGTTTCTTTCCTCCGCCTCTTCCTTCGTTCGGTTACTCTCCCCCGTTATGCCTAAGGTGTTTTTCTCGGTCATTAGTCCTTCCCCAGACAATGTATCAACTTCATCTTTATTGTTACTTCTTTTCTTCAGCTCATCGATAGCATCTTTCACGCCCTCTAACACTGGCACAGACTTTCTTTCGTCCATCGTTTCTGACACTAACGAAACTCCACCTTTGTCTCCCACGTCTACGAATTCTGTTCCTCTTATATATTCTCCTTCACGTGTTGTAGAATTGTTATTGTTTTCACATTTATTCTGGACACCACCTGGTATACCTTTGGACTCAACGTGAGAAACGGACTCGTCGAAACGGTTTTGTTTTTCCATATCTGTCGTATTGTTTTCAGAAGTCTCAAAGACGTCAGATTCAACTTTGAAAATGTCAAAGTCGACGTCTCTATGACTGTCCTTCTCGAGATGTTGCAGGATGTGGCTGTCCCACGCCGCTATGATGTCCTCCGATTCCTTGCATCCTGCACCGTCGTTTGGACGATTTTTTAAAACTCTCGAATTCTGGGCTGCCTGGGTAGTGTCAGCGCACTCGTTCGTTCGCGGCGAGTGGTCAGCATACCCTTCCTGAACTGAGGTGCTATCGGGAGCTCTCGTTTCCCCTACACCTTTCTCAGGGAGCTCTTCGCAAACTAGTGACTCCCCGAGACCCTTGACGCCCGGGGCGTTGGCAATATCACCACCTCTGCTTATTTCGCCATCGGGGTGCCCTTCCCCGGCCAGAGGGGGGAGGTGGCCTGCCCCCGCAGCATCCCCGGGGCTCTCTACACTGCTGTTTACGTCCTTCCCTGATGAATATTCACCCGCCGGCTGCTCATGTGATTCTTGCGTCATCACATCAGAGCCTGATGCACCACCACTGCCGGGAGATAATACTAGCACGGGGTTCGGACCAAAGCAGTTTAAACTGTCCTCGGCCCCGTCGTCACCTGGTGCGGACAACACTAGCAAAGGGTTCGGGCCAAAGCTGCTTAGCTTTCTTAAACATTCTCTACTGCCGCTAACAAACTCGTCCATATTTGGATTACTTACTAAATTAGCGTCTCTTAAATCTGTGTCCTCAGCATGACTAGACTTTTCAGGATTAGTATGGTTCTGTGGAGAAGCAAGACTACCAACGTCATTTACTTCAACATCTGCCATCTCATTTGTTCTATCTTTTTCACTGATATCCCGCACACCTATCCGAGCAGACGACTCCGCTTCGGATTCACTGAGCGTCTCGCGCATCGGCGTGCCTCTGACGTCCTTCCCTGCCTCGTGATCTTCACTCTGGAGATTGCATAACCGCTCGGTGGCCAAGCGTGCCTCGTGCTTTCCAGCGCAGGATACCTGGTCATTAATTTCGCCGTTGTGGTTTTGATCATGAGAGGCGTTTATGTGATTTTTTGCACTGGCACACATTTTGTTAGCTGGTAAGTCTGATATTAGGGTCTTATCCACTTCCTTGTTCTCAAGGACAGGGAGTGGTACGTCGTCACTAATTTCTATAGCTTTGATATCACGGATATTCTCGTCCCTCCCATTTGTTGCTACATCATTGTTGACTCGCAAGACCTCCCCATTTTCCGTCTCGCTCGTTTTGTTTGTTTGGATGTTTTGAAGGTGGTCTTCGACGCGGAAATTCGACAGCGCGAACGGGGCATCGTCATCGTCGTCTTCCTCGTCGGAACTGACTTCAAATTCGTATATCGTGGAAAGGATCCTCTGTCCGGTTCGCACGTCGAAGTACGGCTCGTTCGTCTCCGTGCCCCAGGAGTCGTCCCTCATCTCAAATTCATAATCGAATATCGACATGTCATTCTCGATTTCCGCGAGGGGGGATAAGACCTCCATGTAGAAAGCCTCTCTTGTGATCATTTCGCCATCAGACGCCAAGAGAAGATCGTCAAAATCCTCATTCCTTCTCGCCTTTACTTTCGTCTTCTTGCAGTCATCCACCCTGCAAGGGGCGTAGGCGTCGCTCGCTGCCGGGTCGTAGGTCACGTCACCCTTTGCTGCTTGTCGTGCCTTGTGATTCCTGCTCGTCGCCCGCTGCTTGATTCGGATCTTGCTGGCCTCGCCTCTCGGGCTGCTCAACTCGTCAAAGATTTCTTTGTGCGGTTCGAATTCCGCCACGAAGTTACTGTTATCTGTTAAGTCACTGGTGATGAAGAAATCGTTCGACGACGGATCAAACCACGACCTGTCTAGCCTGTCGCTGTCTTGTGTTTCTTCCGGCGTCGCGGTAATACCTTCCCCAGCTGTAGGGGCTTCTGCCTGAGTGGGGCATGCTTCCACAGTCAGAGAGGGAGCCTGAGGTTCCGCCGTCACCTCTTCTTCATGCCCGAGGGACTCTGACGAGGAGTCGGACTCGGTGGCGTCGTGTTCGGAGATGCCACTGTCCGTCATGATGGAGTCGTGGTGGGTGGAGGCCTTCAGGTACGACCCGCCCTGCACGCACTTCTCGTCCTCCTCGAACACCATCTCCTCCCGCGCCTCCGTCGGACTGCCGGAAGAGGAAGACGCGACGGTGGAGGTCTGACTCTGCGGACTGAGGGATCGCAGAGGTTCCTCCTGATGGGTACCGCCCTCCTCACTCTCCTCCTTCGGTCGAACATCCACACTTAAAGCGCTCGCTACACTATTGGCGTCCATCGTTTCACACTGCATTGTGGTCTTACCTGAAGAAGGCCGTGTTGGCTCCTCGTCGGGAGCTTTTTCCTCCGTCGGACACTCTACTCTACTCTCCACGTCTACCTCGACTAGCTCCCCGGCTTGCGTCTGTACGGTTGTGTTCGGTTGTTCGATCGAAATTTGTTTATCAACTTGTCCGGTCTCTGTAAGCATGCTGTTTTCATCTTCCTCATTCGGATGCAATCTGTGCTGAATATCAAGAACACTCGCGGCCAAATGCAGCATGCTATGATAAACACCAGGCGGATCAAGAGATGCGAGCTATGTGATGCAAGCTATCTTTCTTTTCCTCCTTTCTCGAACGAACAACGAACACGACGTCCACACGCAGCCTCACGTCAGAACGCGGCAATCCCGAGCCACCAACTAACCGCCCACAATGCCCCCTGCTATGTAATGCCGGTTTCACGAGGCCCAGATATGGCGGTAAGTCCCCGACGACGCCTGGAATTAATGACGTCTATCTCAAGATGCAACTGGAGGTAGGTATTCTGAGGGGCGCACACTGGTCCGGCGGGTGTTGCAAAACCCACCCGCAGCGCTCGCGGTGTGACACTTTCTTGGCCCCAATCTAATATTTCCTAACACGGCGTCCAACGGTACACTGCTGGCCTTTAATTCAGTCAAAAACACTTTTGATTTTTATTGTCTCTTTTTTCTTTTTTTCACTAATATCTTGTTCAATTATCTATTTTAAACACTGACTCTCAGGATAAGTACCACTATACAGCCTCTTTCAAATCTACTTTTCCGTTTATCCACACGGGCACTGAGAGAGAAGTCCTACATACAACCGCTCCCGCGGGAGGTCCGGTGGGGTCTGAAGCACCATGCACTTTTATTCTCATGCAGGTTTACTTTTGAGGATGCTAAAGTTCATGAAACACGCACGCAGAGGCTGGCCGAGTCGTTATCCATCGGCGCCTATCAGTCACAGCGGATGTAAACTATCGCCGACGTTCCATTTAGAAGCCATTTCAGCGATACACCTCAACGAAACACGAAGCACAGGTAGAGCCGTCTCCCGCCGCAGAGGCAGGAAGATGCGAGCGCGATACGGGTCCCAGCAGCGCCGCCCGACAACACCGAAGGCCTCCTGAGCGCTCCTCCAGCCTCTCCTCTCGCTCCTCGGAGGCTCCAGGACGTGTGATAACCCTAACAACACGAGCGCGTCCACCAGCTCCACGCCGAGGCACCGCGGGACTGACTG